GGGGATTGGGCAGAGAAACCGCCAGAGACAGAAGGGGGGACATGGACGGGCGGGGTCTCCGAGGGTTCTGAGCGGGGTTGGGACGCTGTCTGTGGAGTAGGTAGAAGAAGTGGGACTGCCTTCTGGGTAGGTGGTGGTGTCCGTTTCCGGACCCCTTTCCCCCCCCGTGAGAGCTGCCTCCTGTGTCGTCTGCCACAGGCCCTGAGGAGGCTCGCCCCCAGAGCCCCTGAGCTTCGGTGATTGATTGCAGCATTGCCTGGCAAAGATGGTACTGAGGCTCTCGCTGCCCCACAGTCTATTAAAGCCGAGTTCGAGAAATGTGAATAAATCCCCTCCTCCGTTACTGCCCGGGCAGCATGGAAACAGCACAGGAAACAGGTGCTGGTAGCTCAGTGGAATGGTAACAAAGACCTTTGGAGACGCCTGCCAAGTGCCAGGACTGGGCTCCGGGCTAGAGGTAGAAGGAGGAGGGAGACCCAGGCTGACCTGACGGGCAGTAACAGGGTACAGAACAGGGTTCATGCATTTCTCACATTAATATATGTCACCTTTTATTATCCTAATTATTCCCCATGTTTTGGTAACTTTCCAAGGGCAGGGACCTGCCCTTTTATTCTCTCCCTCCCCTTGCAATTAGCCCACTGCTTTCTAAATGGGAGTCACGCAGATGTGATGATTAATTGGCTCTGGAGCAAGGGCCACAATTCCTACAATTCCTGGGTCCCACACAGCATCCTGCACAGTGCTAGGGGATATTGTTGGACCTCTGAGTTGTTAGAGTAATGTCATAGCTTTTTAAAAAAATTGTATATTTATTTGGCTGTGCCGGGTCTTTGTTGTTTGCAGGGGTATTTCTCTGGTTGTGGCAAGTAGGGGCTACTCTCTAGATGTAGGACACAGGCTTCTTTTTAAGGCCGCTTTCCTTGTAGCACAGAGGCTGCAGAACGTTCAGGCTTCAGTAGTTGTGGCTCCCCCGCTCTAGAGCACAGACTCAATAGTTGTGGCTCCTGGACTTAGTTGTCTCTCGGCATGTGGGATCTTCATGGACCGGAAATCAAACCTGTGTCTCCTGCTTTGGCAGGCAGATTCTTTACCAGTGCGCCACCAAGGAATTTGTTTTAATGGTTTCTGTTTTGTGCCGTGAGAGCTGCCTCCTGTGTCGTCTGCCACAGGCCCTGAGGAGGCTCGCCCCCAGAGCCCCTGAGCTTCGGTGATTGATTGCAGCATTGCCTGGCAAAGATGGTACTGAGGCTCTCGCTGCCCCACAGTCTATTAAAGCCGAGTTCGAGAAATGTGAATAAATCCCCTCCTCCGTTACTGCCCGGGCAGCATGGAAACAGCACAGGAAACAGGTGCTGGTAGCTCAGTGGAATGGTAACAAAGACCTTTGGAGACGCCTGCCAAGTGCCAGGACTGGGCTCCGGGCTAGAGGTAGAAGGAGGAGGGAGACCCAGGCTGACCTGACGGGCAGTAACAGGGTACAGAACAGGGTTCATGCATTTCTCACATTAATATATGTCACCTTTTATTATCCTAATTATTCCCCATGTTTTGGTAACTTTCCAAGGGCAGGGACCTGCCCTTTTATTCTCTCCCTCCCCTTGCAATTAGCCCACTGCTTTCTAAATGGGAGTCACGCAGATGTGATGATTAATTGGCTCTGGAGCAAGGGCCACAATTCCTACAATTCCTGGGTCCCACACAGCATCCTGCACAGTGCTAGGGGATATTGTTGGACCTCTGAGTTGTTAGAGTAATGTCATAGCTTTTTAAAAAAATTGTATATTTATTTGGCTGTGCCGGGTCTTTGTTGTTTGCAGGGGTATTTCTCTGGTTGTGGCAAGTAGGGGCTACTCTCTAGATGTAGGACACAGGCTTCTTTTTAAGGCTGCTTTCCTTGTAGCACAGAGGCTGCAGAACGTTCAGGCTTCAGTAGTTGTGGCTCCCCCGCTCTAGAGCACAGACTCAATAGTTGTGGCTCCTGGACTTAGTTGTCTCTCGGCATGTGGGATCTTCATGGACCGGAAATCAAACCTGTGTCTCCTGCTTTGGCAGGCAGATTCTTTACCAGTGCGCCACCAAGGAATTTGTTTTAATGGTTTCTGTTTTGGAAAAAAAAAAAACAGTGAGGGTGTTTGGGGTTCCTCAAGAATCAATGGTCCCAAAGGAGGAATGTCTGTCTCAGCTAGCCCTGACGGGAGAGGAGGGGTGAACCGGAGAAGGGAGGAGAGGAGGTACAAAGACCCGAAAAAGACAGGGGTACAGAGTGTGTGGGGCCAGGGACCAACATTGGGCCACTTTTAAAATTCATGGTGGGGGGTGACAGGAGATGAGGCGGAAGTGGACAGCAACGCTTTGCAGCTCATTCCACACTCTGTGTCCAGGGATCCTCGGAGCACTGGAGCAGCATGGGGGGAGACTTCCTGGAGGGGGTGCTGAAGCTGGGCCTTGAAGAGTCAGGGTTTGACTGACAGACAGGGAGTAGAACAGACTTCCAGCAGAGACCAGAAAATGCAGAACTCCCAGCAGGAAAGAAACAAGCCAAGTCCTGGAAACTGCCTGCATGGCCTTAACCAGGCCATGCACTATAGTCCTGCATCCTTGGAGATGCTTGTTCCCTAAATACACAGTGAATCTGCAGTCTTGATTTCTCCCGTGGTTCAGAAGCACAGCTAGGGTCAAGAGGCACCAGAGTGTTTGCAGTGGGCTCCAGAACGCTCTGGGGTCTACCTGTGAAGGGCCTGGTATGAGTGGTATTCCTAGGGGATCTGTGTCTAGCCTGAGGGCATAAGCACTGGAAACCTTTGGCTCTGGCCTTTAACATGGTAAACTACATGTAAAAGTTTAACAAATCATTATAAAATTGGTGCAGTCTGTAAAGGTTTATGTCAGTAGCAAGGTTGGAAACCCCCCTGCCATCAGTCAAGGACTGCTTGAGTAAAATTTGACCTGCCCGAATCGTGGAATACTATGCAACTGCAGAAAAGTATGAGCATACTTTTAATATACCATATGGGCCAATCTGCAGGATGATAAGTAAACAGCAACAGAACTCAAAGCAGTATCTGTAGCTGCTTGTCTTGGGCACCCTTTTAGGGAAAGAGGATGAGAAGCCTGAGATGCCTGGGGAAAAATTCATCAGAACAAATGGATACAACTGACTATCTGAGGGGAAGGGATGGGACCTGGTACTCAGTAAACAGTGAGGCTCTTCATTATATAGATGCCTTTGTGTGTTTTAAAACTACATTTACAAAAAAGTTATAATTCATTCACAAGATTTAAAGTCACATAATTCATAAATGTTTATGGTGAGAAGCCAGCCACCAGTCACATCCCACTGCCCAGGTTGGTGGCTCCAGGTCTCTGCTGTGGGACTGCTGTCCTGTGTCACTTTTGAGCAGCCTTTACTCACTCAGGGGAGACTGAGGACCTGAGAGGGTGAAGCTGCCCCTCTTTCCCGCCCAGGTGTTGAGAGGTGCCATGTCACAGCAGAGTGATGTGGCACAAACTTCTGCATAGGTGCAAGGATAGCCTTTTGGACTGAGAAAAACAAAACTCCATATAAATGCATTTATATGAATGTGCCACTTTTTTTCCCACTCGACTGGAAACTGCTTTTTGTAGTTCTCTATTTCAAGAGGAGCACGTGGTTAACGTAGGGTTTCTAAGGGCTTTCCCTGATTAATGATGAGGGAATATTTGTTGCCTGAAAATTCATTTCCAAAGTGAGATCTAGAATAAAGAGTCTTGCAATAAAGTGGATTGTAGTAGGTAATCCAAAGTAGCAGCTGGCTTACACATCACTCAGGCAAGCGAACAGGCCTCGCAGAAGGAGAGAAGTAATCATAGCTGTCTCAAGACTGACAGACTGAGAGTGAGATCACAGAGCCTTGACTGAGCAGAACTCGTGTCTCCAAGAAAGGACTTAGGAATGCTTGGGTCCATGGCTTGAGTGGTGTTTGTGCTGCCCCTACAGGTTCATAGAATAGGCTTCATTAAGCACTTGGGTTATGTTAAATGTACACTGTGTTTGGACTATAACAATTTCTTGAGGTGTAGGACGTCACCAACCTTGGTTTTTCGACGTAGGGGTTAGGAGCCCTAGATTCTGTCTGGCATGGCAGAGCTGAGGGTGTAGTGGGAGCAGGCAGGCTCTGGGCCCTGAGACTGCTGCGCTGTGGGGTTCCTGTCTGTGTGTTTATCAGTCACACCCTTTATTGCCATAGGTGTTTCCAAACAGGACATTCGTGAGCAGATTTGGGACTACATGGAGTCAAAAAATTTAGCTGATTTTCCCCGGCCTGTTCATCACAGGATTCCCAACTTCAAGGTACTGAAGCATTCCTGGAGCATTCACAAGGAAATTGGGATATTCCTGAATGAGTAACAGTAGTAAGACAGTTACCATCCCGCTTCACGGTGAATTTGAAGTCGGTGAACAGTGAGTGGTGTGAAATCTGAACCAGCTGGCCAGGATGTCTCTATGCTTAGAGATGTCCTTCATCATGTTATTAATACTTAACACTTCCTCTCAAGCGCCTCTTGCCTTTCTGTGCAGGATTGGTGTTTGGGTTGCATCTTGCCCTGAGGTGGTACTGAGGCTACTGCTTCCCATTTGCCACAGAGTGGAATATTTCTCCAGGCTGGAAGCCTTCGATCCTTGTGGTGCCTTTTCACACAGCTGGCTCCTAAGGGCCAACGTACTCTGAGAGGGAGACCCAGCCAGTGGGACTGGCTTCTAAGACCTTTGTATCCTGACTGCCCCCTTAGACATTTCTCGGGTGACCCCAGACCTGGTCTCAGAACTGGCCCCCGCACCTGTGAGGGGGTGGTGCTGGAGTGTCAGGCTGCAGGTGGCTCAGGGCAGTGGCCTCTTGGTAACCTGCACTTGCATTTAAAAACAGGGTGCTTCTCGGGCCGCCGAGCATTTCCCAGGTTTGCAGGCGTTCAAAATGGCCAGAACCATTAAAGTCAACCCTGACTTTTGGACTGAGAAAAACAAAACTCCATATAAATGCATTTATATGAATGTGCCACTTTTTTTCCCACTCGACTGGAAACTGCTTTTTGTAGTTCTCTATTTCAAGAGGAGCACGTGGTTAACGTAGGGTTTCTAAGGGCTTTCCCTGATTAATGATGAGGGAATATTTGTTGCCTGAAAATTCATTTCCAAAGTGAGATCTAGAATAAAGAGTCTTGCAATAAAGTGGATTGTAGTAGGTAATCCAAAGTAGCAGCTGGCTTACACATCACTCAGGCAAGCGAACAGGCCTCGCAGAAGGAGAGAAGTAATCATAGCTGTCTCAAGACTGACAGACTGAGAGTGAGATCACAGAGCCTTGACTGAGCAGAACTCGTGTCTCCAAGAAAGGACTTAGGAATGCTTGGGTCCATGGCTTGAGTGGTGTTTGTGCTGCCCCTACAGGTTCATAGAATAGGCTTCATTAAGCACTTGGGTTATGTTAAATGTACACTGTGTTTGGACTATAACAATTTCTTGAGGTGTAGGACGTCACCAACCTTGGTTTTTCGACGTAGGGTTTAGGAGCCCTAGATTCTGTCTGGCATGGCAGAGCTGAGGGTGTAGTGGGAGCAGGCAGGCTCTGGGCCCTGAGACTGCTGCGCTGTGGGGTTCCTGTCTGTGTGTTTATCAGTCACACCCTTTATTGCCATAGGTGTTTCCAAACAGGACATTCGTGAGCAGATTTGGGACTACATGGAGTCAAAAAATTTAGCTGATTTTCCCCGGCCTGTTCATCACAGGATTCCCAACTTCAAGGTACTGAAGCATTCCTGGAGCATTCACAAGGAAATTGGGATATTCCTGAATGAGTAACAGTAGTAAGACAGTTACCATCCCGCTTCACGGTGAATTTGAAGTCGGTGAACAGTGAGTGGTGTGAAATCTGAACCAGCTGGCCAGGATGTCTCTATGCTTAGAGATGTCCTTCATCATGTTATTAATACTTAACACTTCCTCTCAAGCGCCTCTTGCCTTTCTGTGCAGGATTGGTGTTTGGGTTGCATCTTGCCCTGAGGTGGTACTGAGGCTACTGCTTCCCAGAGCCTCAGAGTGGAATATTTCTCCAGGCTGGAAGCCTTCGATCCTTGTGGTGCCTTTTCACACAGCTGGCTCCTAAGGGCCAACGTACTCTGAGAGGGAGACCCAGCCAGTGGGACTGGCTTCTAAGACCTTTGTATCCTGACTGCCCCCTTAGACATTTCTCGGGTGACCCCAGACCTGGTCTCAGAACTGGCCCCCGCACCTGTGAGGGGGTGGTGCTGGAGTGTCAGGCTGCAGGTGGCTCAGGGCAGTGGCCTCTTGGTAACCTGCACTTGCATTTAAAAACAGGGTGCTTCTCGGGCCGCCGAGCATTTCCCAGGTTTGCAGGCGTTCAAAATGGCCAGAACCATTAAAGTCAACCCTGACGCTCCCCAGAAAAACGCCCGTTTCTTCGTCCTTGAAGTAAGTGCACCTCTGTCTTTGTACCTAACCAGGGCTCTTATCTGGCTTGCCAAAACATCAGAGACCTTGAGGTTTTTGCCAGAACTCAGGAACTTAAAGTGGACCCTGATAAACCACTGGAAGGCGTCCGGTTGCTGGCACTGCAGGTAATCCCATTCCGTGAGCCAGAGCCCTGGCTGCTGGCCGGCCTGCCCTCTTCAGGTGGCTGTCGAGTGGGCACCATCCTGCATTTGGAGGGAGGGTTCTGACTCCCTCCATGCAGAATGTGTCTGTGGAGTTGTTTTTCCCAGGACATTCAGAACTTTTTCATTGTCAGTCAGTCAGAAGTCCCGAACATGTCTGAATTCAAAGAGAAAAGGCATTGATGTACCTCTCCAGAAGAGAACAATTGCAATATGTATATTTCTTCTACTACATTTGTGATACTATAATTCTTTGAAACTTGATGACTTACGAGTTAAAAATCTGATAAGTGAGTCCCCCAAACACATGAATTAGAACAGTGTTTCTTAACTTAGATATAATAGGCCCCTTTTCAAGAAGAAAAATTCTCCCCGGGGTTGCCTTGATTTATAATTTCATTTAATAGCATAAATATAAAACTTGGAATAAATTTTAATTTCGTACCTCCAGTGTGATTATAAAATCAAAATACACATGCAAATATAAACAAAACTATAAAAGCAGTAACATTCAGGTGACAGCCTTTATTTCATGTGATGGTTGATGTTGGGGCAGTGTGGGGTCTGCTGCCGTGCTTCAGGTGCTTCAAGACATCTTGAAGCTCAGTTTCCCTACTTCCCTTCTCAGTTTCCCTGAGAAGCCTTGCTCTGCAGGCACCTTCCGTCCTTGGTCGGGGGGTGCATACTCGATCAGGCTAGGATGGTGATGCACATGGCCGCAGAGCATGCCTGGGGGCACAGCTTCCCAGGTTCAACCCCAGATCCTCATCTGGTGCTATTACTAGAAATTGGTCATAGTAAACTCACTGGTGAAGCTATGAGATCTCCAGGTCTGAGCTTCCTATCTGTAAGTTAGCACCTGCCGGGGAGCTTTGAAAGACTGTTGCTGATGTCCAGTTCTGAGTCAGGCTTAAGTGGACCTGGACTTTGGTGAGCCTCAGAGCTCCCCAAGGACCTCTAGTTTATAACCAGTGGGTTAGCAGAGTATCGGGCAGTACACCAGAGTCTGGAGACTACAGACAAAGTCACCCACCTCTCTCGTTAACTTCTGTTGAAATACTCTTCTTGGGGTTGAAAACTGTTAGAAAGCCAAACTGTAATTTTATGGGACTTTTATTGGTCTGAGACTGTCATCCCCTGCTCAAAAAGTAAAATATGCTATTTTTTACATAAAAGAGCTTATAAATTTTATAATTGTCTCATGGCCCACCCCTGTATAATCTGCAGCAGTGTCCTTGGCCGTGGTTCTCAAACTTACCCTGTGCATCAGGAGTACTGGGTAGGCTTATTACACCAGGCTGCTGGGCCCCACCCCAGAGCTTCTGATCATGTCAAACAGTGCCCAGGGGCCCTCACTCTGAAAACCTCTGCTCTAGGTCTTGCAATAAACATTTGAGAATTAAATAGAAGAAAACGGCTATTGACACAAGTCAGTATAAAATATTGATTGTAATGAGTACTGATCTCTCAGACTGATTTACTGAGCAGCGAACTAGGTATAAGTGCTTGATAGGGTAATGTCTTAATGTGGCTTCAAAATAAAATATTGTCCCTGGATAGGGCTTAATGCCAGGAGCGTAAGGCACAGCAAGGTATGGTTGGAGTTTTCTTCAGGACAGACTTCTTTTGGATTTGCATCATCATTTTCACTCGGAACAATTTTGAATGGCAAGTAGAATAGAATCAGCCAGTTTTACAAACCTTCACCCCTTTTTTCTGAGTCAGGGTAGTATAACTGCTCTTAAGTAAAATCGTGCCCAAGTATTATTCAGTTGAGTTTGCAAAGCAGCTCATCTTCTTGACACATACCCCAAAATACAGGTAATAGTAGCTTGCTTCTGTTCCTGAAATGTTAAAGTGATACATAAGAAAGTTCCCATGTTAAATTTTGTAATTTATTCACTGTCTTTTCTTTTAAAAGAGCAAAAAAATATTATTGGTTCCAACACCGCGACTGAGAACGGGGTTGTTTAATAAGATCACTCCACCCCCTGGGGCAACTAAAGACATCTTGAGAAAATGTGCCACCTCTCAGGTGAGTTTGAGAAGCAGCGCCAGCCACAGGGAAGAACCACTCTCAGCCGTGCCCTCCTGTGAGTTAGAACAGTGTGACTCTGCCACAGGGTTGAAGTCTGGTTTAGCAAAACCAAATGAAGAGTGGTGTGAGGTATTCAGCAATCTTGTCATTACAGGAGCCCAGCAGAAAAGCTGCCAAGCATTTGGTTTTTCTTTTGCACCAAGGTGACAAAGAGTAAATTCCCAGTAAGAGAGAAGGAAAAGTGAATTCTCTGGTACTCTGGCGCCCTCTAGAGTTACCTTTTGATGCTGTTCAGTGTCCTAGAGCATTTTCTCAGATGCCACCAGAAACGGTAGAATTTCCAAAATATGTTCAATTGGAAATTGTCTCACCAAGTACTGAAGCAATAAAGGCTTTAGTAATTTAGCAATATGTTTTCTTTTAACTTCCCCCTAATGCCATGAAACCAGTATACTGTAAACATTACATTAGGGTGCCTTATAATGAAATTTGTCTGGTATTTTATAGACAAAGAAATAGAATTTGGTGACTTTTTTCAGAGTTCTAGAATTGACCCCAGGTCATTTGGTTCCTAATCTGGTGGAAAGGAGAAATGGAACATTAAGAAATACCTTTCTAAAAGGGATTTTCCACTTAAGTCTAGTGTATGACAAGTGAATGCTCTATTGTCATTTATTGATAACCTGTTTTATTGAAAAACAGAATTTGGCATGACGTACAAAAATACAATAAAGGAAGATAACAAAACATGTGGGGAAAAAAATAAAGGGATAACAAATGTGAGAATATAAGAGATGACCCTGGTTCTGGTCAGTGTTCAAAGTGCCCACCACATGCTCCCCTGCAGTTGGTGGACGTGGCCACAGACCCGAGCCCACACTTCTGAGGGCCGGCAGGGAATCTTGTCAGTTATAATCATGGGTTCTGGACAGTAAGAGCAGCCCTTTTCCTCATACTGAAATCCAGGTCAGATGTGGCTGTGTCCCCCTTCACAGCATCCCCCTCCCCTTTGAAAGGTGACCGACACTCGGCTCATTCCCAGGAGGCTCTGTGACGCACCAGCACTGGCCGGTCTCTCACGGGCACTCCTGAAAGTATGGCCCGGCCAGAGTAAAGCCAGGCTGGCTCCCATGACTGAGCTTGAGTGCAAATTGGACAGTGTTTGGGCTCTTTTATATCATGAGATACTGGCTAGAAATCAGAGATCCAGGGTCATGAACCTCAAAGAGTGTGTTGTTTTCTCTGTGGTAGAGGAAAATGGCAAATAGAGAGTCATAGACACATCTAATGCAGATGCAGATTTAATACGATTATTATTTAGGTGGCCAAAGCTTAGTGGTGAAATGCTGCCACCGTGTATATCACTTTAGGAGACTGTGATGTCGCCTCACTTCATGGCAGGCAAGTCTCTGAGTTTGTGCCTCAGCTTCCTGCCACCGTCATGCCCCAGCCACCTGTGTCTGCCCTCATTGTCTCTGCATTTACTCTTTGACTCAGGAGTGTTCTGGGAACCACTCCAGGGGGAAGGCAGAAGTGTCTGTTAACTGCCTAAGTCCCTCTGCCCCTCCAGTGACTCTTGGTTAAATAGAACAGGACTTTGGAGTGTCAGGAAGACTCCTGGTTGCTTGTGCTCTGTCTGGTCAGACTGAGCAGGTGAGGCTGACCACTGAGAGAAGGGGGGCCTGACAGACGGGTTACAGCACAGAAAACCTGATGCCGGTGTCTGCTCCCCAAGGCTGCCAGGTGCTGAGCCCCCTGAAACAGGCTTGAAGATGCCAGCCATGGGCGAGGGCACATCCTGCCTGGGTGTGGTGAGCTTAAGGAAAGACAGGCTTTCCCCCAGTGGGGGCACCTGGGGCCAATGACTGTGGTTTGACTGTTGGGAGGCCCCAAGCTAATCATAGTACTGGTCCTTGGACCAGTCACTTGTCGTGGACTTGTCGTTTGCCTGGTGATCACTCCTGCAGTGTACTGGGCCACGCAGTGTCTGACTCTAGTTTCCCTAGATTTCTCCCGTGCCTGTAATCAGAGTCATGGCCGCAGCGGCCTCCCTATGCCCCCACTCAGGCCTCGTTAGGATAACTGGGTGTGCTTTGGGTGGTCTTTGGTTGAATAATTGGCTGTTCATGCAGAGAGGCCTCCAGTGTTCACGGTGAACTAAAATGTCCCACATGCTTAATGGCCATGTCTTACATGCTGGATGCTTTGCCGGCGCTCTGTCATCTCATTCCAGTGTGCAGGGCGAGGCAGGACTGTTGTCCCTGTGTCACAGAGCAAGAGACTGATGTTCAGAGAGCTTCCTCTGCTGAGGCCGCAGAGGAGGGGTCTGGACCCATTTCTGTGACTCCCGACCCTGGGTTCTAATCACTGCGCTCTCCTGCCTCCTGGGGGAAAATGATTTGCTGACTATTATGAATGAATATCCTATTCATTTTGCTGTCAGTTCCCCCTGGTGAAGGATTGTGGGAACTGCCTTAAAATGATTCTGATCCATGGTTTCCTGAGCTACTGCTTCCGCGGTGCTGTGTCGTTTGCTGTGGGGCGGCCCACTTGCTTCCTGCTGGAGGTTGAGACCCTGAGCGCACATCTCTGTGGGTTTTGAGGCAGGCAGGAGCTCTCAGGCTGTGTGTCTGTTCACAGGGTGTGAGGAACTACAGCACTCCCGTGGGCTTGGACTCCAAGGTCCTTGTGGACTTAGTTGTGGTGGGGTCCGTGGCTGTTTCTGAAAAAGGTAAGATTAAGAACAGAAACTCTGAGATGTGACCAGTGACTCTGCAGCCTGCTGTTCCCCCAGCGCTCCGGTTGCCTTAGAGATGTTGACAGTGAGTAATTTCAGCTTTCTGGATGCATGCCTGGCCTTGAAACCACTGCATCTATCACTCATGTTGAAGAATTAACTCAGTCCCTCCCACTCTTATCCCCACTCAACACCTTTACAGCATTTCCACTTTTTCTTAACAGGATGAATGACATGAGGTCATCTCTCTTCAGGTGGTGAAAGATTTCCTCTCTGTTCTTCAGTTAACTGGAACTGGAGCTGGATTTATTTGCAGTGCGTCAGTAAATAATTGGTGTTGGAGAGCCTCCAGTAAATGGAGAAACACTGGGTTCTGAACCTCTTTTTTCTTGTGCAGCAATAGCCTCGTGGTCAGTGTGGGGTGTCCTGAGCCTGCCTGGGGGCCTGAGGCTTCTCCCTGCAAGCCTGTGAGCCAGGACAGCGTGGGTCACCCCGCCAGCCTGTGTGCTAGGCTGAGCCGCCCTCAGACTCGTCCCTGGGGTTCCCTGGGGCCTCTTCCCCGCTGCCCTGCCCACTCCAGGCTCGGCTTGGTGCTGTCTGGGAACAAGCTGCTGCTTCTGGAGTGGGGTCAGCACACTGCAGACTTGAACCTGTGTGTACCACTGGGGCCCCTGCCACCAGGAAAGCCATCTCTTTCTTCTTTTCCTGCCAAGAGAATGTCCAGAGATGCTCATCCCCAAATCTCTTTGGAAGTTAATCAGCCAAAGCCTCTTCCTTCAGTAGGTTCCCAGTAAATCGTTGGTGATTCCCAGTAAATCATTGGTAAGAAGTGCTCTAAGTCTTTCGTTCCCAGGCCTGAACATTGTGTTTTTCAGTGTCAGCCTTTGATATTATCACCCTAAATTTACTCTCTTCCCTGCTGCTGCTCTGAGCTACTGTGTGAGATGCTTAGGAGTGGATGTTACAATCGTGGGTTCCTTGTTCCACGTGTTCCCGTTACAGACGCTTTGCCTATGTCCTCAGGATACCCTCTGCGTGCAGACACACAGAGGGTGTAGTGTAGTCCTGTCCTGTGGTCTAGGGGAGCCTTTGAGGACTCTCTGTGGGATGACTTCTTGGAGAGGAATTACCGGACCAATGGGTTTTTAAATCCTTATGTCGCCAAGTTACACTGCAGCAGGGGTGCCCACCTCACATCCTCGCACACCATCTGCCTTGCCTCTCTCCCTCTTCCCCTGTTGATAACTAGGATTATCCCACCTCACTTTTTGTGTCTGATAGTGAGCAATGGTATCTGAGTTGCCTCTTGATTTATATCTGCTTTGGGTGAGCTTGAACGTTTCTCCTATGAACACTGTCACCTGTCTCTCTGGTCTGTTAGTACCCTTTGCTGCTTTGCTATTGAACTGTCTTTCACTTCTTTGCATGTATGATTGAAGACTTCTCATTGTAAAAGTAGCACAGTCAGGTCTGACTCTTAGAAGGATGCCTGAGTGATGGTGCTTCCACGCTCGGTAATGGTGCTGACATCACATAGAAGTCAAAACTCCTGGCTGGCCTGGGCGTCCTACTGAGAGGAGTGACTGGACTTGGCTGGGAGCTTGAGGCATGCTCACGTCCACTGTCCTGCGTCCTTTCCCCCTGCTTAGTTTGTCCTTGAGCTTCAGATAACAGATTCTTATCTTGTGCCGCGTTTGTGAATTTGCAACATAGCCCTGCTTAAACAGCCTCCTTCCAAGTTGTGGGGCTGTGATCTTAGTTCCCTGACTAGGGCGTGAACCGGTGCCCCCCGCAGTGGATGTGCAGAGTCCTAAGCACTGGACCACAGGGAGGTCCCTCCTTAGTGCCTTACAGGCAAGGCTGAGCCAACTCACATCCGGGTCCCTGATGCAGACTTCCCGCTTTCCCTGCACAATGACAAAGATTTGCCTTTAGTAAGAACTTGNTCCATGACCTGGCTATTATAAACAGTGCTGCGATGAACATTGGGGTCTTTCACCCCTTTTAAATGTGAATCTGTTAACATAAAGCTAATGTAAATGCTAGCTCCACTTCCTTTGTAAAGGTGCACAGGGTGCCAAGTTCCTTGACTGTGTGTTAACCGCGGTACCCGTCCCGCGTGGTGCTTCCCCTTGAACTCCTCCAAGTCCACGATGAGAAGTGTGCTCCTGCCTAATTCCCCAGAACCCACACGTGCTGCTTCTCTGCATTGCCTCTTAGGCTGGAGAATTGGGAAGGGAGAAGGCTATGCCGACCTTGAATACGCCATGATGGTGTCAATGGGAGCCGTCAACCAGGGGACGCCAGTGGTCACCATCGTCCATGACTGCCAGGTGCTTCCTGGGAACAGGCCAAGCAGAGCCACCACCGGGCATGGAGCGCTGGGGCCGGGGCGGGGCAGCTGGGTCTCTGCCTTCACTCTGCGCCACGTCGGGTGTGGCTCGGCCGGGCCGGATGCGCTTGGTGGCGCAGCAGCTCGGCCTTGAGCAGGACAGGTTTGGGGGACATCGTCCTTCCATCAAGCGGTGCGGCGAACGCGGCCGGGGCTGTATCCCCACTAGCTCCCTCACCTGCTTCTGTTCGACCAGGTTGTCGACATACCTGAAGCACTCCTCGAGGACCACGACCTCACTGTGGACTATATCCTTACTCCAACTCGAGTCATCACCACAGGGTGTGAGCGCCCCAAGCCAGCGGGAATCGCATGGTCCAAGGTGGGTCACCGTGACGTGGAGCGAGGCCAGTGCTGGCTCGTGGCTCACAGACACCTCCTCTCTCCCTGTGTTGTCTGTCTGTCAGGACTGCTGTCCCCAGGCCTGCGTGGCTGTGTGTTAGAACATACCTGGAGAACATACTTAAGAAGCCTACCAGTTCCTACAAGCAGGCTGGATTCAAGGTCTGCACATGACACCAGTGGTAGTGGCAGGGGGTGACCAGCTCCACCAGGAGAGCTAATGCATTGAATCTACTTGCCAGGTTTTCATCTCTAAGAGCTGTCTTCTGACATCCCAGCCACACATGGTCCTAATCATCAGGCTTTCCTTTTGTAAGCCCAGATTTTCTCAGTGCCATCTGCATCTCCGTGCAGAACTGAATAGGGTAGGAGGCAGTACCCACAGCTTCATATGTTGATGCCATGGTGACTTTATCTCCAGAGTAGGCAGTAGCATGTATCACAGACTGGTCTGCAATAGAAGTTTGACCCCAGAAGCCAACCTCTAGGTATGATGCTGTCTGCTGGAAAATAGCCAGAGTTACTGAGAAAGCTGGAGAATTTGTACTCCAATTGGATTGAAATTCTTGGTCAAATTAGCACGTTTGTCCATGTTTCACATTCCTTACACTTGAGTCATCCAGGGCTGGAAGGCTGCTTTCCTCTGGGCGTGGGAATCAGCAGTGTCCACCGCCAAGGATGGCCCAGAGGGGACATCCTGTGCTCTCACCCCGCCCCGAGGGCCTCCCTGCAGAACACCTGCGCTCCTGCTGGACTCACCCCTGGTGAGAGCAGGGAGAAGGTGCAGCATCCTTCGTGACTATTGAAACATTGCTCAGGGTGTTTAGAACTTAGGGTTCCTTGGGATCCGGGCCCACAGGCTCCCTTTAGATGAGTGGTGGCTGAGACAGTGGCCGTGGGAACGAGGTGGCTGTGCTCAGAGCTGAGAGTGTGGTCTGGGAGGATGCGCCCACGGGGCTGCTCTACATAGCTGAGGGCCAGCTGCAGTGTGGGGAGGGCGAGTTCTGGGGGCCTCGCCAGGGAGAGGAGATGGTTGCCTCGGAGAATACCCATAATTTAGTAAGAAAAATATGAAAACAAGAACAAGTTAGGTTATCTGTTGTGTTAGATGAATATAATCCCTCTTAGATGAGAGAAACAGTCCAGCCACAGTTTCCTGAGACCCCCTCAGCCATACCGATGCCTGCTTGCCAGGACCTAGGCTTACTCACCGTCTTCCTGGGGGGTGCTAGTCGTCACTGAGGCCGTGGCGAGAACCCCTCACCATGGGTCCTGAGTTCTTAGTTCTGCCACCAGCTGGTCGTCCCTCTGTGTGGGTGGGTCCTGTGAAGGTGGGGACTCTCTGGCCCCCGGAGTCTTGCCCTTGCCTTCAGTGTGTGTAGCCAGAGCACCTTGGGGACAGGGAGGTGGTGGGGGCAGCTCAGTGCTGCTTGTAGTGCTATTTCGGGTTGGCTGCTGGGCACATACGGTTAGATCCTGATCCTTCTGTGATGCTCCCCACATAGACTCACGTGACCCCAGTGTGGGATGGGGATGAGGTTAGAGCCAGTGTCGTCTTGGGTTGGCAGCAGATGCCTCGAGAGTGAGACTTCTGATTGTGTTGGGCTTAGTGTGCATTTCTAGGGGAGAGGTTTTAAACTTAATCTCTAAAGGGAACATGCATTAATAAATGACCGCCATCTGCATGCTTCAGCAAGAAGTGATTGGGGCGTACAAAAAAAAAAAAACAATTTTGTTTTATACCAGCTTTTTAAATGGAATGATTTGTTACAGAAGGCATAATTTTTTTTCCTGTTTGATTAACAAGCACAATCTTTTATTTCACATGGCAAATTGACAAAAAACTAACAAATGTTCCTAATTGCCAGCCGGGAAAAACAGCATCCCCGTGGGTCCCTATGTGGGAATCCAGCCTGTCTGCTGGGCTCTCAGAGGCCATCCGCTCTGGGCCTCCATCAGCCCACATGTGCCGTTCCGCAAGGAGCACAGTGTGGGCAGAGGCCTCCGAGTCAGGCTTTCCCTTTAGAACGCGTGGGGCGTGGGGCGTGGGGCGGCAGAGAGGGCACTAACGCTGAGCTTTGCTGTCCTAAAGAACACAGTGCTCTCAAAATAAGCAGTTTTACATAAAAGCCTTGCATTTCTGCACTTCCGTTCCCAAGACCCCTTAGTGTGTGCCAGCATCGCGATGCTGTGGACTTGGTCGGTTTGCGGTGTGCTGGAGGGCATTCCTTGTCCTGCCGCTGATTGCAGTCTGTCCGAGTGCCCGCTCTGGTCAGGGAGTTCTGGGGATGTGCACAGAAGGATGTGTGTGTGCTTCACACATGTTCTAGGATGGGTATCTGCTGTGTGAGTGTGGAGCCTTGCCCCACGGGGCCAGGCTTCTTGAGAACATGCATGTCTACCTGAGGCAGCCCTGTGGATCCACTGGGCAAAAACCACGGGAGTTTCAGCACTAAGGGGCAGTCTTCGGCGGAGACGGCCCCACAGCGGGCCCAGTGGATGCACGGCGTTTACCAGGAGGTGTGGCCTTGGTGGCTCCCACTGCTGGTGCGGGGCCTGGGGCAACGTTTTGCTCTTCCATACAAGGCCATAGACACACTTTTCATCTGACTGTGATTACTGGTTTAAACTTGATCATCCTTTCTAAATGATCCAGTAGCTTAAGAAATCCTTAAGACTAAATATGAGCAGTTTAAATTTGCTGCTAAACACTTCGAAAGAATGCAAGAATTTGAACTCCTTAAGAAGGCAGACCAGGGATGTGGGAGGGAGTGAGTTGGCTGGACTCAGGAGGTCTTTGGGATTCTTTGGGACCCAGAGCCTCTAGTGGAGGAAAATGCCCTTTGATCAGGAAGCATAGCCTCATCTTATGGGTGTCTTCATGGCATAGACATGGTTTTTGTTTTCTTTTTGCATCTCAGCAGTGGGGCTTGCCTGATAGCCCAGTTGGTAAAGAATCCGCCTACAATGCAGGAGACCCCAGTTCGATTCCTGGGTCAGGAAGATCCACTGGAGAAGGGATAGTTTACCCACTCCAATATTCTTGGGCTTCCCTGTGGCTCAACTGATAAAGAATCCACCTGTTTTGTGGAAGACCTGGATTTGATCCCTGGGTTGGTAAGATCCCCTGGAGAAGGGAAAGGCTACCCACTCCAGTATTCTGGCCTGGAGAATTCCAAGGACTGTATAGTCCACGGGGTCCCAAAGAGTTGGACACAGCTGAGCAGCTTTCACTTCACTTCACTTCAATGGGAAATGTGAGGAGGAGGGAGTTTTTCTCAGTGCTCTGTTCTGAAGACTTGCCTGGCTCCTGACTCAGCTGTGCCAGCGACAAGGACAGCGTCTGGCTGGGGAGGCGCTAACCCCCCGGGAGGCTCTGCTGCGGTGGAGTCACCTACCTGCATAGCAGTGGGAGTGGGAGCCAGTGGGGGATAGAAGCCTCTAAGTCTCTGGGAGGGCATTTGACATGCTTGGTTATTNGCTAACCCCCCGGGAGGCTCTGCTGCAGTGGAGTCACCTACCTGCATAGCAGTGGGAGTGGGAGCCAGTGGGGGATAGAAGCCTCTAAGTCTCTGGGAGGGCATTTGACATGCTTGGTTATTCTCGTTTCTTCTCACTCTTACCCTAATCCATTGATTCTCAACCTGGGACCGGTGTGCCTCTTGCAGTTTGGAGGTCCATGCACAGGTATTGGGATACTGTACACAGCTGTAGGGGATTCTTTTGTGGGAGGGAACCTCAGCTGCTCTCCAGGGTCTCTGGCACCCTGCCAAGGATAAGAACCATTGCCCTAAGTCACATGTGATTGTGAATATACTGAGAACTCTGGTACTATTTGAACTATTTATTTTTGTAGACAAATTAGACCTGTTCATCTTGTGTGCTGATCCGTGATGAGGTACTCATGTCTGTTGGAAGCCTGCATTTGAACCATTGCTTGCCTCTTGATGACTGAATTTTTTTTTTTTTTGCGGGATCTTAGTTCCCTGACCAGGAATTGACCCTGCACCCTCAGCAATGAAAGCGAGGAGTCCTAACTACAGAAGCACCAGGGAATTCCCTTGGTGACTGATTGTTTATGTGCTCTGTGCCCACAGAAGCCAGAATGCACCTGTAAAGAATGGTTTGTCAAAAAGACCTGAGCAAATCTTTCTGTTCCTTCTTTGCCGTGTGGTTCCTTAAGACCCATGAGACCAGGTCTTCCCCTGCTCAGCCCCCAGTGCCCCCAGCACACAGCACAGGGCCTCCGCCTCGAGTATTAGGGCTCTTCTGTCACCTCTGTTGCTACAAGTGCTCTTTGATCAACTTAGTCAAAAAGCCGAAAGTGTCGTTTGTATGAAAGTCCTACTGGCTGAGATATAACATTGTGTGTGCAATCCGTTGTTTTGTATCCTGATGACCCATTGTTAGAAAGTGTTCTCAGTGTAGCGTTCTGTTCCACATTTGCCTTGATTGTGCTTTTTCAATGACGCCTAGATGGGTTTGGCCCTTAGGAGGAGGAGGAGATCCCCACAACCCCATTAAAGACCTCACCCCACCCAAGGTGTAGGTCAGGGGAGGGGACAGATATGGAGGTAGAAAGTGCCCTGTAATCCTGTGGCATTGCCAGGGCAGTTGCCATTTACAACCCTGTAACCCTCATACCAGTGATCTTAGCTCCACTTTTGCGTAGGATGCCTCATTGTCTGCCTTCTGGGCCCCCAGGAAAATGGAGAAAGCCATCCAGCTCCTACCAGGTGCCATGTCCTGTTGGGCAGACGCAGAGTGTCAGAGGGAGACGGCTGGCCTGAGGGTGCTGTCTTCTGTGAGCACGTGTGGCAGAGGCCCCTGCATGACTGATGCTTCTTCCCTGTGACCGAGCTGTGGTCCTTCCTGGATGCCCCGAGAATAGCTGGAACTGCTTTGCTTTTTCAGATCAGCTGTGAGATGATGGAGAAGATACCTATCCTCAGAAGCCTGCGCCACCGAGAGGAGCAGGCTGGGAAGGACGTCACCCTCCGGGACGGGCCCCGGAGCCCTCCAGGTGCCCAGGCCGCCCCCAGCACTGCCAGAAGCCCTCGGGACCCAGCCCCACCAGAATCGGGCTCCGTGCCTTCCAGCTCTGTTGAGATTGGTAACCTCCCCCAGGATGTCAGGGTGAGCCAGCTAAAGCGGGCCCTCAGTGCACTGGGTGTGGTGCCCTCACGGCTCACCTGGCAGGGGCCACAGCACAGGGCCTTCCTTCACTACCGGGACCCGGCTGAGGCCCAGCAGGCCATCGCCTGCCTGCAGGGCTTCCGCCTGGGCGCCAGCACAGTGAGGGTGGTGCTGGCCAGGCAGCAGAGGGCCGGTGACCTTGGGGGCGGCCACACCGCAGAGCCACTCCCTGACCATCGACCGGCCGTTGCTGGCCCATGACGACGTCCCGCTATGATCCCCAGCGAACTTCCGCCCAGCACAGCGGGGCGTGGTGGAGCTGTTGCTGCCTGAGCTGCTGTTGAGTTTGGTCCTTTCTGGGAAGTCAGAGCTCCAGTTGCTGCCCAGTGTCTCCTGGGGGCAGGAAGTCAGCCCGTGAGGCACTTGGAGTCTCTTGGGAGGCAGGAAGTTCATATTCAGGCTTCTGCACATCCTGGTCCTTCAGCCTGTGGAATGTAACAGCCCTGCTGGTTTCTTGGTTGAGGAGACTGAGTGAGCAATAAATGAGCAGGAGTAAATTCTGACAGCAGTCTAGGGGGTCTGTGTTCTGAACTTGAGAGGCATGGGGGATTAAGAGAAGGTGGATGGAAGAGTCTGCCAGGAGAGCCCTTGGCAGGGACCAGCGCAGAGGCACAGCAGGGTGGAACCAGAAGTAACCCTTGTGTTCCTACCTTCTTGGCCTCGCACTGCTGGAGGGGAAAAGGTGCGGTCAACCCAAAGAAGCAGGGGGTTCAGTCCAGGTGCCGGGGCACAGTCTGCGCGTCTCATCTCAGCCCTGGTGCTCGAGGTGGCGGCCAGTCCGGCAGGGCCCCTTGGCCCTGTGGTCTCACCTCTGTCCCCTCCTCACCATTGCAGCCGGGCTCCTCCCTCTGGGTGAACACCCCCCCGCCCACCCCTGCTGTCAGCCAGCTCCCCCTACACAGCAGGAAGCTCTGCCTCTAGGAGATCCTGGCTTTGAAAAGTGAGTGGTCCCAGCCTGTGTCACAGACGAGGCCAAACAGATGCTCTCACACTCATTTGCCCTCTGCTATGTGTTGTGTGCATCTTTCCCTCCATTTCTCTGTTCCTAAAAATCAAGCTGGACTTTGGCTGAACTGTGCTTTGTAAACAGAAGCGCTTTTGCAGTTGATCTTGGGTGAAAAGTCAAGATAAGCATTTAAGTGGAGATTTTTTTTTTTCAAATGTATATTCATTGGAAGTGTTTATTTTTTCACCAGAAGGTCTCACTGAGCATGGTTTGAACCCATCATTAAGCCTCAAGGGGGCAGGCCTTGCCCGCACTTTGAAGAAAATGTTCTCAAGGCATTGAGTCTCTCTTTGAAAAAGCATTTTCTCATTGGTGGAGACTTTGGGAAGAGAATTGACCCTTAGATTTGCTCGTTAAATGCCGCCTCTTTCCACATTTTCATGGACAAGATCAGGGAGTAGAATATCTTAATGCAGGCCAGGCTGTCAATCGTCTGGGCTCACCTTTCTCTGCCTGACCCTACGCCCCTGTCCCTCAGCTGGTTTCATTGGGTCACTTGTGTTCAGCTTGGCCATTCTAGACCAGCTGACCGCCCAATCCAGAGTAGTGGCCTGGTATCTGAACTCCTCACTCCCCTTGAGTTTCCCCCTTTACCCAGAACACCTCTTGTGTTCGACATGCTCAGTTTTTGTTGATGTTTTTATTGTTGGTTTGCCACCATTGGAGCAGCGCCCTGGGGGGATAGGAAGTGAGCCTGTCCCTGCCTATACTCTCTGCCACCCATCCCCTGGCCTTGAGAACCGCCTACTGATATGTGTGCAGAAATGAAAGGACCTATCAGTCAGAGCCGAGGGGCAGGCTGTGTCCACGTCTCACTCCTGGGGTCGGGTGTCTGGTGAGCCTGGAGCCAGCTCCTCAGACTGCTGATCTTTGCATGTCAGGAATGACCCCTGTGGGCTGGGCCAGGTTGCTGGGCTTCCTGTCACTTTTAGCCAGAAGAACCCAGGTGTGTTGATACACAGATAATGTATTCATCGTCTTCATATCTGAGACAGTAGGTTAGTAGGTGGGAGACAGGACCAGGGGCCTGAAATAGCAGCCTCCCAGATGTATCATGTGTGTGCCTCCCCTCCATCTATCTCAGGCAGCCCTGGAGTCAGAGTTCTCAGCCCTGCCAGGAGGGGCATCAGGGACCCAGTTTTTGTTACCAGGGTTCTTGAGTATTTGTCAGCGTCATTATTGTGTAATTCATGTAATAAGAGAATAATGGAAAATGAGCACTTGACAAGTTGCTGAGACTGCATGAACCTTTTTAAGTGGCTCTGCCGTGACTCCTGGTCTCTCAGCTCCTATGATGTGGCCGCGTCGTGGAGCCTCTCTGGGCATTTGTGTCCTTGGCTTTATAGCGAGAGGGTCAAGTGTGTTGTTTCTAAGGCCTGGCCCATTCTAACATTCTGTTTCTTTTGAGGTTCACTGCTCGCCATCACTTAGATTTTTCCATTCTGGAAGTCTGGGGCTGTCAGAAGTATTATACAAAGGGGGTCATTCCTCACCCCACCGCATAAGCAGCCTTGACACTGCCTCTTATTTACCTCTGGTCTTTCCTCTGCACAGTATTGAAACACAGCTAGCATTAACACATGTGCTTCAGAACTACACAGATTCGGCCAAGAGCATCCATGTTACCGCTGCCAGGTACCTCCTCTCTGAGCTTCCACGGGCTTAGCTGTGAATGGACATAGTGATGGGATCGCCTCTAGATTTGTTGTTTTGAAGGGTGAACAAAGCAGCTTGGATTTCTAAATCGTTCAGTCACTAAGTTGTGTCCAACTCTTTGCGATCCCATGGGCTGCAGCACACCAGGCTTCCCTGCCCTTCACTGTCTCCTGGATGTTTGCTCAAATTCATGTGCATTATGTCGGTTATGCTAAATCATACCATGTGTAAAAATAAATTCCAGGCTAATTAAATATCTAAACATAAGAATAAATGTGAAGGAATTTGGAGATAATAGAAAAGAATGTTTTCTAATGTTGGGTTAGGAAGGGATGGACAAGACCTTGAATTTAAGGGAGAGTTTATTCCTTCATCACCCTTGGAATCCATACGAGCCCTCCAGGATGAGCTGTCTTCTGGGCGCTTCTCCAGGCTAACCCCTTGTGTTTTCTGCATCGTGATTTCTATATGTTTTCTCTAAAATTTGTCACTATGCATGGACAGTTTTATTTAGTATTACTTGCACATTTTTGGAGTGTTACTGCATGTGTCTCCTGTGTCTAAAACCGGCTTCTGGGCTGCTCAGGGTAGCGCTTAGTGGCCCCTCGGTACGTGCAGGTGAGCGTGGCCATCCTATTTCTTGGAGTCTGGCCCCCAGCGCAGACAAGTACATGTGTCCCGTGTTCTCTGTGGGCCCAGGCCCCAGCACGCTGTCTCAGCTGTGGAGCAGCGCACAGCGTTCTACCCGTTTCCGCACATGAGAAGAGTAGGGCCACTTGGGCGCAGTGGTCTCCCCACCTGGCCCCACAGCCAGTTCTGGCAATGCTGAGCCTCATACAGATGCTCACCTCAGGTCTCTACCCACTTCTGCCCCCGTCTCACACCTGGGTCGTCTGGACTGGGGGCTCCCCAAGGCCAGGACTGCACATCCCAGCGGACAAGAGCTCCACCTTTTGAGAGTGCCTTACCTGCACCAGCAGATGGGCGACTTACAGATGAAACGGGGCTCTCAGAAGGCGTGACTGGCTTGTTCAAGGCTCCAGACCCAGGCAGAGGTGAAGTGGTCACTTGGACCCCAGCCTCTGCCCCTAGAACCCTGCCGGCTTCCTGAATTATGGGTTGGCCGTCCACACCTGCTGATTCCTCACCATCCCTGGGTTCAGCCAACTGAGAATTTTGACTACAGGATGCATTACCCATCGATGTAGAAGGCCGACTGTATGACACAATTTTATACAAGGGACTTCTGCATCAGTGGGTTTTGGTGTCTATAGCAGCTCCTGGAAACAGTCACACAGATACCAAGGGATGACTGTACCTTACCTCCAGCAAAGGAGCCAAGATGACACTGTTCACACCACACCCTCCCCAATCCAGCCCCCAGCCCCTGAGGTGCCAGAAAGTGGGGGAGCCAACCCCCCTAGACTCTGAGGGGAGGGATCCTGCCACAACTTCTGTAGGTTGGCCCTGCTGTCGTCCTTCAGCCATCATTTGGCCGCCCTGGTTCCCCTCCAGTGACACACACAGACCTGCCTTCAGGTGCCGCCGAGGGGGAAAGAAACATGATGACACAGGCTGCAAGCAGGAAAGACTGAGCGTCAGCTCCCCAGGGAAAGAGAACCCGTGTGGCTGAAACCGAACAGCTGACATTTGGTGAAGAGGGATATTGGTGCGAAGATAAAATGTCAGAGGAGAGCAACGTTTAGAAAACCATAATCAAGTCCAGGGGATAGTAAAAATGGGGCAAATACAGCTCCCCATTCACACCCACACCCACTGCAGACATCAGTCATAGATCCCAGCACTCCTGCTGGCCAAGCTTGAGAAAACTGCACTGGGTTTTAAGGAACCAGGGCCAGATATGAGATACCAGTATGAGATAATGGAGCTTTCTGTATTTTGGCCAAAGGAGCAAAACAGGGTCCTCCCCTGCACCTCTTCTTTTTATTCCTCGGGAGCATGGCCACACATTGCCATCTGCCCTCCCCCACAGGCTCCTGCTCTTGCAAGCCACTCTGCTCTGGCTTGCAGAGGACGCGTCCAGATATTCAGTCCTCACCCCCCCTGCACTCAGCAGAAATAACTGAGTGGGAATTGCTACACTCCCATCCCCTGTATCTGGATCTAACCTGCCAGTGTTCCAAATACAACTGGTACTATGGACTCTCTGGTCATTTTCAAAGTGGATTTTTTGAAGGGTAGGGCTACCCTGGGGAGGTCTGTCTTCAAAATAAATCTTACACAAAACTCCATACTTGAAAGCAGGAAGAAGAGGTCAGTGTGTGGGTGAACACTTCCCGCAGTATGCCACAGGGGGCACTGCCTACCTGACCCCTCCCCCATCCTGGAGCTGGAAGTGGGGTGACATCCTCTGCTGGTATCTTGTGTCTTCCCTTCTGAGAAGAATGCCTCTAACTTATTGAGCTGTTTTAAGTGCTGTGGAAGTTGTAGGATGCCACCCAAAGTTCTTCAACAGCCCCATTGAGAGAGGAGATCTGTGCACATCCCCTTGAATCTGGGCACTGGGACAGGTGGGTGAACACTGTCGAACACCTTGCCTGAGAAGGCTATGGAACTGGCAGCTTCCACCCCATCTACTTGGGACACTTGTTCTTAGAGCCCAGCCCCCAAACGGAGAGGAAGCCCAAGCTGCCCATGGAGAGGGCTCACAGAGAGGAGCCACCACTGCCAGCCCGCCAGCCTCGGGGGTGTGCCATCTTGGAAGTGGGTCCCCAGCCCCGGAAGAGCTGTCTTAGCTGATGCCTGCTGGAGCAGACACGGGTTGGTTCCACTGAACTTTGCTCAGATTGCATTCAGGAGTGAAGTGGGTGATTTTTGCTGCTTTC